TAATGTAGCTCTTGAGCGATTAAGCTATTTAGTTGATAAAATTGCGGGGCAGCGCTAAAATGTTTGTTCCTGAATGTCTGAGTGCGGCCGCAACGTGATCTGTGTAAGTGACTGAGCGTGTGTGCGTTAGATACAGAAGACAGCGCATTAGTTTAGAACTCTTCTAATTTTTATTTTTTAGATGTAGAGAGTGTGTTAATTTGTGCAATGATAACCTACCAGCAATGTAAATATTATTATTTTTTTTAAATATATTAGAATGAGTACATTACTTAAAAACAAGATGCAAAAAATCAGAATATTGTACCTGGTGGGGAGTGCCCAATGTAAACATGAAACATATGCCATTACCTCTATTGTACTGTGGTACAGTTATGGAGGCCCTTCATAATGCAGAGGTCAGCTGCCTGCTCTGCCAATAGTTAGAAATGGCCCTATAGTATGCAGTGTTTAATAAACTGCTGTTTTACTAAATTCTTCTAAGGTGAAATTCAGTGCAGTCCCGTACCGTGATACGTATCGTACCGTGGCATCTGTACCGTGATGCGTATCGTATCGTGACTTTGCTGGTGATACACAGCCCTAACACATAGCATGATGTATCTCTTTTCTCTCATTTTACTTGCCTCTGTATTCACTCAGTATAATCAAGTGGTGAAGATGATGTATAATTCTGTGTGAAATGTGAATATTGTCTATGTAAATAAATTCAGTGATGATGCATCCTCTTTGAGAGGCGTCACAGCATGGCAAGCCTTTGATTTGTTTCACTGTACCCATAACGCACTGGGTTATTTAAGGACTTGAAACCTGAGTGCAGCTGAGGATATTCTTCTAACTCACTTGCTGCTGGTTCATTCCGAGAGGCTCCTCACATCCAGAGTCACTTCAAAGAACAAAGACGAGGAAAAAAAAGTAGGGGTAAACAATGGCTTTATTTCCCCGTTCTTTCCTCTTCCTAAACAAACGTATCTCTTATGTGTTTCATAGTAGAAACTGCTTTGAATTCCAATTTTCAATGTAAAAGGCAATATTGACTATGACAATATAGTTTTTCTCAGCAAAATGATAAAGCAATTTTCAAAGCCAGTTCTGCATAATTCATTTAAAATACACTTTAATAATAATGAAAAAAGAGTCTGGCTGTTTTAGTCTGAATGCACTACATAGGTGATTTTATGATTGACTGCTGTGTCCTTATGAGTTATTGTTTAATTGCTCAGCTGTAGATTCTGTTTCATAAGTACTGTGTATTCAGACACAATACTCATTCGACATACTGCATTTTGCATATTATATAGCAGGCATACACAGACTCAAGGTCTGTCTTTTCACTTTATTAAAGAGAAAATTCACCCAGAAATTAAAATTAAAATTTATTACAAAAAAAAACTTGTTCCAAACCCACAAGATGTTTGTTCATCTTTGAAACACAAATACTGCTATTTTTAATACCTCCTGTTCATAAAGAGATTGTGAAAGAAATTTATATCGAGCAGTTAAATCTAATTCTTCTGAAGAGACTTTTTTGTGACCATATTTGATTGATTCTATGATCAACATTTATATGTGAATAAAAGCCCATATTAATCTGTTCATCGTCAAACCGATTATGTCTCTTCAGAAGACTTGGTTTAAACCACTCGATTCATATGGATTTTTTTAATGAAGTTCTAGAAGCATCACATTTTTGGGTGAATAGACTTAAAAAAAAAGTGACAGAAGTCTCTCAATTTCATTAAAACTATTTTGATTGGTGTTTCAAAGATGAATGAATGTTTCATGGATTTGGTACAACATGAGGGTGAGTAAATGATGACAGAATTATCATTTTTGAGTGAGCTAGCCCTTACATTTTTGTGTTTTTTGCTTGACTATTTAGGTATCTGCAGTCATTCACACATTTTAAAGGAGTGTAAGTAAATCTCCTGCGCAGATACTGCACAGTTAAACCTAGAGAACTTCTCTAACATACAGTCTTTTGATTCAAGCGATTTTTTTATTTTCTCTCAGGGTTCACCTTTTGACACTCTTTGTGCTTGGAACAAAATATATTAGATTAGCAGAAAGCACAAGCCCATCATTCATCATAAGTGCCTTGACACATAATGCAGCACGGTTCAACCTCTGAGATTGGTAACGTCCCTTTGTTTGAATCTGAGTGATTGAACTTATTGCATCCTTAATTTGGTATCTGAACTGAGGTGGAGAGGTGCAGATGAATGTAAAAATGGGATCAGGTGCTCTTGAGGGCCTTTTCTTTGGTCTTCTTTACTGAACCCACAAAACTGATCTCTCAACAACACCAAATGGCCAGTTCTCTTTACTCTACGGACAGTTTTCTGTCTACAGACATCAATGAAAACATGATAAACTGTGCAGCTTCTAAGTGTTTGGGCTTATGATGTTTGCTCAGAAATTGTTAGGCCAACTCCAACATAATAGGTGAGTTTTGGATGCTGCTATATATAACAATCTTTCTCAGTGTTTCTTAAGCTTGTATTGTTCCAGGTTTCTTGGGTTGAGATCTAACAACTCTTTGCACTGTAAACACAATTGTCTCAATGTTTTCTCACCTCAACAGAAGTTAATGTTTCCTGCTTGGCTACATAACGTAGGTGTTCCCCAACCCCTGATGAATTTGTTGTTGAGGTTTTTTCAAGTCAAGGCTTTTAAATGTGCCTCTGCTGCTGCATCTCATCTCTAGAACCATGCAGAAAGCTCCAACTGCGTTTGTAAATTTATTACATGGCTATTTTTAGCACCAGGGTTTATGCTGCAATGTATTTATCCCTGAGGAAAAACACTGTGCCGGCATGAGCACAGTTCATATAAAAGTGTTTATTTGTCTCCAGGAATTAAAGCCACTTCTGAACATTAGTAAATGCTGCAAAAACCTATGTATTGTGTGCTTTTTGTTTTGTTTTATCTATTTTGTTTCCATAACCTATTACAAATTTGTCAATTCGTAGGCTCTATTAACCAAAAGTTACTTAAATCATGTACAGGTGTATTTACAGGGACCATCTCCCTGGTGAAACAAGGGTAAGTAATGTCATATTGGTGACAGTTCTAAAAAACCTATTTGAACCTATAACCTTTCAGTTACCAGGCATGTTTTTTGTTTTGTTTTGCTTTTTAACCACTTGATGAGTCCTTTATTCTATTAAATGGATAGTTCAATTAAAAAATGTAATTATTTACTCACCCTAATGTCATTTCAAACATATATGATTTTCTTCTATGGAGCATAAAAGAAGATATTTTGAAAAAGGTCTGAATGGTTTTCTTTCTTCTATGCAATGAAAACAAATATTGTTTGGATGCCAATGTTCTTCAAAATATCTTATTCAGAAGATAGTAAGTCGTACAGGTTGTGACTGATATGAATGTTAATAAAGCCGGGCATACACGGTGCGATTTTTGCTGTCATATGAGCTTGTACGCGTTTTTTTCCCATCGGAAGAAATCGCATGGAAGTCGTTGATGCTCGTATGGTCGTGACTTGCATCGTGTGAGAGGAATTTACGAGCCGAGTACCTCACAAGCTCCTGATAATTTTTAAACATGCTTAAAAAATTTGGGGAGTCAGCCTAATTTTGACCAGCGTAAAAATCATATACAACCACATCACATATGCTAGATATATGTATATTATTATAGCTCAGTGGCTACTAGGCAACCCCAAATCGTGCGGATACACCGACACACACACACACACACACACACACACACACAAATCACTCGTTGTTTTTTGTTGAAAGGAATGACTATGCTGTTCTCTGCTGAATGTGCTACACTGAAGGTGCTTCTGAAATGAATGAGGGTACTCTAGCATTAATACATATCTATTTTCACATAGCATATATTTTGTGCAATGCATTGCTATGGCGCAAAGAGCGCTCCTTTTATAATCACTCTCTCATCTTAGTTCGTGATCTCACAAAGTTCTGTTATAATCAATGAAGTTCTCTACACTGCACAATGAATCTCTGTTTTTACATTGCGTCTACACTTTGTAATAATGAGATGATTCGCATGTGTGCAGAATTCAGCACTGGACAAAATTCCAGCTTTGTGAGCGGTGAGTGGATTCGAACATAAACGCCTCTGATTGGCCATTGCGTTCAAGAAATCAACAGATATGTCAGTGATTGGCTACATTGCTCACCGCTGCAAAAACACATTGTAAAGAGAAACTGCAATTCACCAAATAATTTGCATACGCCTCTTTTAATTTTCTTTCTTTTTCTATTTGAAGCTATAAAGCAGCAACATTGAAAAGTTCCATATCTCTGTGTTTAGCGCGAAAGCTCATGCGATTGCCGCCGGCTCGCACGGCGGTACAGTCGTGCTGTGTACCAAACTGCTTTGACACAATTAACAGGTTAACTGAACTGTAACGTGTGCAATGGCTCACGACCTCCCGAGTGTCTGAACTTGCACCGCGTACGCCTGGCCTAAATGATAGAACGTTAATAGGTGAACTATCCCTTTAAATTAGCATGCCTTGTTGGCATAATGGCTCATTTATCTTTGTTAATCTGTAGTACAATCATTAGTTCAGATAACCATATTGCCATCAGTGCAGTAAAGCCCTTTGTAAGGTTAATGCAGCGTACAGATGGAATGCTCTTGCCAGAACAGTTAACTGACAATGAACTGTCCTTTTTTTCCCTCCAAACTATTAGCACAACCAGCTCCAAACCAGGCCTGGAATGCTTCACTACTTTGGACTATGTTAAGTCTGTGGTCATAAGTGCAGTGGGCATGTCTGACATGCCTGTCATTCTCCTGCTGATACTTAGAGAGGCAGGGACCAATTTCCCAACAGCCCCTGCACTCCTTGAAATAGGGAGTATGGGAGAGGCAGCTTCTTTAATCCTAAAGCAGGGGTTCATCATCATAACCGCCTCATCATCATAGCTCAGTTAATCCCATGATGAGAGTGCTGTCCCCTTCTAGACACTGTAAAGATTTTGATAGCTGGCCTTAAATGATGGTTTGGGTAACCTCTTAACATTTGATTTCCTTTCTGTGTTTAATGTTGAATACTACTATTACTATAGCACTAAAGGAATTCAGATCTAAATCTTGTGTAGTAAAGCTTTCAAAAAGTGTATTAGTTAACAAGTGGTGTTTGCTAAGGAAAGGCACTATTGCTATTGCTCATACTTAGAGTTATGGATTTTTGATCAAACCCCTTTGGCGTGTAAATAATCCTGTATCTTTTATGCTCCAGACAAAAAGAATATATCATTCTGTTTTTTAGGAGGAGTGTGCTATTGACTTATTTTATTGGGTGGACAATTAAAAAGGGCAAACAAATCTTTTAGACTTGCACTGAAGGATAGACACAAGCCATTTCCAATGACCACTTTGACATCTTGGGCCAGTATGAAACCACCTAATAGCCAATTTTAATTCAGTTTCTGAATTTGAATTGAGGTTAGAGGATTCCAATTTGAACTTAAAAGTATGGAAACGGAATTAATTGAAAATCATTTAATTGTGTGAAATTGCATTTTAACTAGAAATACAAAGTTTGCCGAGACAAAATTGGATGAATGAATAGATAAAATGCTGCTATAGGTAGGTAGATATGTTCATGTATTTCATTATGTTTAATAAATAAGGCCCAGCTGGTAGAACAGTTCATTTCTCATAAAAGGCTAAAAGTTATCTGTTATTCACATCTAAACGTTTACATCTCAGATATTAGAAGTTTATCCGTTTTCACATTGTCGCCACATTTTTATTGACTTACATTTTTCATGATAAGTTATCACATTTTTGTAAATGTGTCTTATCTAGCAGATAAATGTAATCTTGAGTTATTTTCCAGAGGCAGGAGCAACAGCAGAAGCAGATCGCTCCCTTTGCTAGACCTTGTGCATTCGCTCTTTGTACCCAGAACAAGACTGTAGTACAATGCCTTGCCGTTAGAGCTGTGTCAGAACGCCGCTTAAGATAAATAAATGATCAGCCAGAAACAAACTTCAAAGCCTGCTTGTGTACTGTGCTGCACTGCGCTTCAAAGGGAATAGGACCTTATAGAACACCGACTGTTCTATAGAGAATAGAATGTTTGTGTTATTGTGTGCGTGTCCATTTGTGGTTTTGGTTTAATGGAGAACGAAAAACAACAACTGTATAACGCTCTTAGTAAATATTAATTTGCACCAGCCCCCTTTTCCATCTCATATTTAGTCTGGCCCCCTTTGTCTCTGTACACCTGTCCCCTGACAGCCCAATCCAATCTACTTTGTTCAAAGTCTGCGAATGAGGTTTCAATAGTCATTTATCATTCTCTATCATCTTCTCATTCATTTCTTTATCTTCATCCTCTTTAAGTCCCCAGGAAACAGAGCAGAATTCTGTCTATGTTTATAGTGTCAGAGTGTTATCTAACCGTTGATTTCTTCTCTTTCTTTCCCTCTGCAGCCAGCTCTCGCTCTCTCTCTTTGCCTCCTGCTGGGCACATCTCCTCCCGTCTGTCCTTATAGGGGGATGTCTGTCCTCTAACTGCCTCTCTCTCCACTAACTGATAGGTGTGTATGCAGGTGAACTGTGCATGAACCAAGTCTCAACCCTTGGTTTTACTTTGTTATCCTCTATGTGAAGCTTCCATTATCTTCATTTTGTCACCTTTGACAATGAGAGAGATGTCCGAGCTATTGTGCATAGCATGAATGAAGTTATCATGGTGATTTAAAGTCCAGCATGTCTATATTGTGTCGACGTGTGGTGAATTTAGTCTGGAACTATTTTGAGTATGTTTTGTGGCATATGCATGTGAGTTTTGGCCATTTGTGGTTGTTATATGCAGAAAGTAAAGTATCAAGCTTCCTATAAAGGAATTGCTGCTCATAGTACAGTGCAATGTGACACTGCAGCATTTGGTGCATGGATACTGTTGTAGTATTAGGTTTTAGGGTTGCATTGTCAGTATTAAAGGTATATTTAAGCCAGAAATGTATATTTTGTCTTTATTTACTTGACTTTATTTCTTATGAGGAACACAAAAAGAGTCCAAGCAGCTATCTTCCATACAGTGAAAGTGGATGGGGACCAGAGGCTGTCATCATAAAGGTAGTGGTCCATACTACTATTCAAGTCTTCTGTGGTCACCAAACTATGGAAAGCCTAAAGGGAAACAAATATTTTTTTGTCCCTTATATAAACACAAATAGTGTTTTTGTCATTTTATTTTATTTTACATTAGGACTGTGTTTTAAAATTAAGCTTTTGACTTGTCTGAAGCTGAGATTTTAATTTTATCCAGTAATATTTTAGAATGACACCATGTCAATTATATTGATTTTATAATATAGAATATTGCAATATTTCATCAAAAGGTGGTTCCATATGCATTAAGCCCTGAATATGCCCTGACCCTATAACTGCCCCTGAAGTTGTTAAATTCCTTGAATGATAGTTGCGTTCACCATTTGCTTTCAATGCGGAAAAGAGACATTCTGCTATAAAGGACTTCTTTTTATGTTCCACAGAAGAAAAAAAGTAAAGAGAATATGTAATGTTAAGAGAATTCACATTTTTGGCTGAACTATCCCTTTAAATGGTTGTTTCTTTTGTCCTGGGTCCTTCTCTCTCCCCCATTTACCCTGCCCTGTAATCAGCATATAATTTTGGGTGCTGCTATGGAAGAATATGACGTGCCGTCAGCCGCCAGTATCCTGGCATCAGTCAAAGAGCAGGAGGCGCGCTTCGAGCATCTGACCAGGGCCCTTGAAGAGGAACGCCGCAATGTCTCCTTACAGCTGGAGCGCGGCAGTCTGCCCTCTGATCGACTGGTGGGCGGAACCACAGGCGGGAGCAACCAACCGCTGGCCTGGCAACAGATGGTCATGCAGGTAAATCTTTCCAGCTTGGCAAGTCATGCGTCAGTCTGTGTGAATGAACAAAGCAGCCCCATAACTCCCCTCATGCTGATGCTGCTTCATTTTCATTTTCATTGTTTTCACAAAATCAGTCCGTCTGTGTCTTATTTAGCTTGAGCTGTGTTTGGCTGGGCTGAGTTATTGCTCTGGGTGTTGTCCTGCAGTGACTCATCATCTATGCCCAGGATGGGTCGTCTTTACACTCTTCTTCTTCCCATCTCTCTCCACCACGTGCTTCTCATATTATCTCATAGACCGTACTGTTTGCTTTGGGTCCCTTATGGTGCTGAGGCAAATGTGTGTCTGAGGCAGTGATGTTAAAAGGATGCCATCCTGGGGTGGAAAACTGAAGTCAATGTGAGAGAAAATCAAATTAATACCATTGCAGTTTTACAATACCATCACAGTACAAAATTGTTCCCTCGAGTCAAAGTAGTAGGGAGTTATAAAATAACAAATTGTTGGTCTAGAAATAAGCTTCCTAAGAAACTAAGTCCCAGGTTTAATTTTATTTTTATTTTTTATTTATTTTTTGCATTTATTTATGTATTTGTTGGAGAAAATTGGATTACAGTCTAGAATTTATAGAAAAAATGTAAAAGGCTAAAAACTTTAATTACTGTAGTGAAATATTTTTTTTCTGTTAGGCCTTTTGGTGGGACGTTGTCCACCTGTAGCTGCACCCCTTGTTTGAAGGTTGTTTAATAACTTTACTGACTTTAGATTTGTATCTTTTTTCATTGTTTTCACACTTTGTCTGCTTTGTTATTATGTTGTTCTTAAAGGGATAGTTCAACCAAAAATGAAAATTGTGTCATTAATTACTCACCCTCGTGTCGTTCCAAACCCGTAAGACCTTCGTTCATCTTCGGAACACAAATTAAGATATTTTTGATGAAATCCGAGAGCTTTCTGACCCTGAAGAGACAGAAACAGAAATACCATGTTCAAGGCCTAGGAACGTAGTAAGAACATCGATAAAATAGTCATATGTCATCAGTGGTTCAACTGTAATGTTGTGAAGCTACGAGAATACCATTTGTGCGCAAAGAAAACAAAAATAACTTTATTCAACAATTTCTTCTCTTCCGTGTTGCGTTCATGAGAGTACCAGGATGCACGCGTGTGCATTCCTCTGATTGCAAACAAGGTGCAGCGCGTCGGGTTTCTACGTCAGAATGCCGGCTCCTGCATCAGCAGCATCATCACACAAGTGCCATCACGTCATGGTACTCTCGTGCACGTGCGTCGACTGACACGGAAGAGAAGAAATTGTTAAATAAAGTTATTTTTGTTTTCGTTGCAGACTTTTTTATCGATGTCCTTACTACGTTTCTGGGCCTTGAACGTGGTAGTTCTGTTGCTATCTATGCAGGGTCAGAAAGCTCTCGCATTTCATCAAAAATATTTTAATTTGTGTTCCGAAGATGATCTAAGGTCTTACAGGTTTGGAACGACATGAGGGTGAGTAATTAATGACACAGTTTTCATTTTTGGGTGAACTATCCCTTTAATTGAGTTACATTTGCAAGATCCTTTCATTAATCAATTCAAATACCACTAGACTGCAAAATATATGTAATCAACAGAAGTTCAACACTGGATTGCATCCAGATCAACAACTGACAGTTTTATTTTATATATTTATTTTTCCCAAACACTATTCAATGAGGTTTCTATGGGTTGATGGTGGGAAATAAGGCTGATGAAATCCTCTCCATGTTAGCAATCAGTAGTGGATAATTTTAGGGTAGTGAAGTCATACTCTACACGTCTGTTTGATGGCAACACCATATAATTTATTTCTGACCGACTCTGGAGATGCATATGTAGTGTTCCGTCATCGTCATCGTCAAAGGGTGAAATATTTTGACTCCTAACTAGAAAGAAAACAAAAATAACTTTATTCAACAATTTCTTCTCTTCCGTGTTGCGTTCATGAGAGTACCAGGATGCACGCGTGTGCATTCCTCTGATTGCAAACAAGGTGCAGCGCGTCGGGTTTCTACGTCAGAATGCCGGCTCCTGCATCAGCAGCATCATCACACAAGTGCCATCACGTCATGGTACTCTCGTGCACGTGCGTCGACTGACACGGAAGAGAAGAAATTGTTAAATAAAGTTATTTTTGTTTTCGTTGCAGACTTTTTTATCGATGTCCTTACTACGTTTCTGGGCCTTGAACGTGGTAGTTCTGTTGCTATCTATGCAGGGTCAGAAAGCTCTCGCATTTCATCAAAAATATTTTAATTTGTGTTCCGAAGATGATCTAAGGTCTTACAGGTTTGGAACGACATGAGGGTGAGTAATTAATGACACAGTTTTCATTTTTGGGTGAACTATCCCTTTAATTGAGTTACATTTGCAAGATCCTTTCATTAATCAATTCAAATACCACTAGACTGCAAAATATATGTAATCAACAGAAGTTCAACACTGGATTGCATCCAGATCAACAACTGACAGTTTTATTTTATATATTTATTTTCCCAAACACTATTCAATGAGGTTTCTATGGGTTGATGGTGGGAAATAAGGCTGATGAAATCCTCTCCATGTTAGCAATCAGTAGTGGATAATTTTAGGGTAGTGAAGTCATACTCTACACGTCTGTTTGATGGCAACACCATATAATTTATTTCTGACCGACTCTGGAGATGCATATGTAGTGTTCCGTCATCGTCATCGTCAAAGGGTGAAATATTTTGACTCCTAACTAGCTGTTTTCCTCTACATTACTATTGAACTTTGCTGTTTTGTAAAACCAGTTAAAGAAAAGTGTAATTCTTACAGAAAAAAACATGTCCCTTGTCACTGCTTAGACACTGATTATCTGTCTCTTCCATTACGTGTTTAGCCTGTGTGCTGCCCTCGCCTGCCCATAAAGCTTGTGTGTTTTACTCCTCTCTGCCTACCATGACAGCTTGAAAATTAGCTTGCCCTTTTATGCATGTTGGTTACTGTCAGAAGGCCTTGCATGTCACAGAATCATTTTGCTGGAACTGACTGGTATCTTCTGTCTAGATGTCTGTCTTTATATCCTGTTTCACTTCCTCTCTCAATGAGAATGATCAAAGCGCACAGTGATTAGGATCAAAAGCTATTGGATTTATGTAGCTAATGTTATTACCGGAGGTGATGTAGCTGGACAAGTATATCCTGGGTCAGCATGTTTGCTGACCTTCTGGCAGTGTCATGACCGTGTTATAATAATTCATGTTTATTTGTGTTTATTATATATATATATATATATATATATATACACATATACATATATATATATATACTGTATATATGTGTGTGTGTAAAGTTTACCATCCCTCAATGCATTACACATTTAGCAACAAATGTTATGGTTTTTAATTTTAATCAATGCAAATGTATAAGTGTTTAATTTAAATAATCTTTTAAAATGAGTGAGTATATATTTTTCTTTTGAGGTTGATATATTCAGATATTTTCTTTCAGCAGTCCTCTCATGCTTTCATTGTATCAGTGGCTTTTCTTTTTGCTGTGTAAATCTTTATATTTTATCATTTGAAAATGGTTTCTTGGAATGTTATATGAATAATTGGCACTGTTGCAGTTGTTGTGGTGCAGCAGGTGCACCTCATTCATCTTGTGTCTTGTACATATTAATACTGTAATGGGAGGTGGATCAAGTCCTAATATATTTGATTCCCAAAGAACGAAAGGACTCTCCTCATTCCCTCATTCACCTCAGTCTGTTTACTGACTGGAGACATTGATTTATTTTGTTTTTAAGCATTTATTATTCTTCACAAGGCCCAAAAGGTCACAGAGTGACAGAGACACACAATAGGACTCCATCAATGGCAGACCTTTCACAGCAACTCTCACACCATAGACAGCTTTTCTTTAAAGTAACCTCGACTGTCCCACGTGTAAGTAATGTTCAGAGGTCATGACCTGAGGCAGTACGAGGAACAACGCAGCTACTTCTTCCTGGAATCTAGAACATCATTTAAAATTCAGGAAACGTGCCTGTAGGACTGAAGCTTGCTTCCTGTGGCTGAACTTTGCTAGCTCTGTCTAAATGTTTTGAGTCTGAAAGGCCTGTGGAGAGCTTTGGAAGAAAAGTTGCTGCTTTGATCAGTGCTGTCTGTGGTAAGACACACAGAGATGGTATGATACACCACTGCTCAGGTTCCGCAGTTTTATCGTACAGGTCCACTGGCCTAGAGGAAGGGAAGCTCAGCTGACATTTTCAGTTTGTTCTGTAAACATTGAGAATAGAAAAGTGAAAAATTCCAGGGTCCATTTTTATAAAATGTTTTACTTTTATGCTAAATTATACTTATGGATATATTATTATTACTATTATAATTTGTTATTATTTTAAATGTAATCCAAATTATATAATCAGTTCATCCCAGTATGTTTTTATATGGCCTTATTTTGTAAGACTTTTGTTTATTTTATTGAAAGAAATGAATGCTTTAACTCAGCAAGGATGCATTAAATTGATCTGCATTAAAATGCAATAAATTGTTTTGTAACATTGTAAATGTCTTTACTATTTCAAATAAATGCAGTTCTTTTGAACTCTATCAAAGAATCCTGAAAAAAAATTAATGAATATTTCACAATATTACTGTATTTTAAAGATTTTTAAAGAATATTTAAATAAATAAATGTAGCCTTAAAGGAACACTCCACTATTTTTGAAAATAGGCTCATTAGACCGATAAGTATAAATGTACCTTGCTGAGTTAAATGATTAGCACTAAACAGTAAGAAATCAGTCCAGTCTCCCCAGCTGTAAATGTCATTGGCTGTTAAAGTCTTCTGTTACTTATAATAAATTGACATGTTGATATCACATAAGCAGTCTTTCAGAATGCTCTCAGTTACATAGATGCATATTGTATGAATTAGTGAGTGTGGTGGTGCTTATGGGGTGTCGCTGTGGCACGGTGAGTATGAGCATGGGAGGGAATATCAGAGTATAC